TTATTAATTTATTCAATTTCTGTTGTTCTCATGCTACCAATATTTCTCACATGGGTTTCTGTTTCACAATGACCACCTAATAGTCCTGAGTTTAAACCACACAGTTAATTTCCCACAAAGCAATCAAAGTGATATATTTAATATAAAATTGTTTCATACCACCAATCTTCCCCTTGACCCTTACAAGTTTTCAAAGTTTTTTCATTACACTTAGAATAAAATTCCAACTGCTGACCAAGGGAAAAGCCCTTCTAGAATCTGGTCCTAGCTTGCCTGTTCAACATCATCTCAAATTAATCTTCTCCTCTCTCACTTTAGTCCATTCCCTGGTGCCTACTTTCTACAAATTAAACCAAACCATCTCTTGTTTTTCCATTTACCCTTCTATTTGTTCAAAACACTCTTTCTCTATTTATGCATGCCAACACCTTCATATAGCAATACATATATAATTGTTTTTTTGTAATTTACTGCTTGATTTTGCCTGCTACAATAATAATAATCTTTATGTTGCACTTAATATCAATAAGGCACTAAGTACAAGAACTATAAATCAATGTAAACATATTAATTTTAAATTATATTTCTTATTTATTTTTTAGAATTTAATTCTAACAACAACCTGTGAAATTGCACTGTTGCTATCCTAATTTTTCATGCCAGGATGCTAATCTCAGAGATTAAGAGAAATTAAATAATTTGCCTAAGATCTCAGAGTGAGCAATTGGCAGACCCAGAATTTCAATGCATGTAGTCTGGTTTCAGAGCCTTTGTTCTTAACTGGGCCTCTAAGTGATATGGTTATATTATATAGAATGTTCCTCTGACTATACATGATACAATGGATGTGTGTTTTCAGAAGTTATATTCGTGTACTAGGGCTGCCATAACAAAATATCACAGAGTGAATGGTTTAAACACTGGAAGTTTATTTTCTTACAATTCTGGAAGATGGAAGTCCAACATCAAGGTGCCCAAAATTTGATTTCTTCTGAGTCCTCTCATGTTGGCTGACAGATGGCTGCCTTCTTTCTGTGTCCTCATACAGTCTTGTCTCTGTGTGTATTTATGCCTGGTATCTCTTCCTCTTCTTATGAAGACACCAGTCTATTGGATTAGGGAACAACTCTGTTGACCCCATTTAAACTTAATTAGTTTCTGAGGGTCTATCTCCAAATACAGTCATCTTGGTGGTTAGCTTTTCAATACTGGAGTTTGTGGGGGAACACACAATTCAGTCTATAACAGAAGTATCATTTAATGGTAACCTATACAAATATACATGATATTTAAATTTCTCATCCTCTTTCAAAAATCGTCTTAAAATACTTCAACATGAAAATTTAAAACAAAACAAAAATATTAAATTAATGTGTATGGAATAGGACTCATTAATCAATTATTTTGTGAGAATCATAGGAATATGATTCTGTCTCTTTTCTAATGTGATCTATTTATACAAACTACTCTAAGCAAAATATTTGCCATTTGAAGATTTTTATTTAATAATTTTATATGCTAGTTAATATAGCAAAATAAGTTTCTTTGTAAATACTAGTAGCAATCTTTAACTTTTTCTCCATATAATTTATTTTAAAGTTTACAATATTCAAAAATACTATTTTGAGTTTTTATGAGTAGTTTTATTAAAAGAATTATGTCACTGATGAAAAAATAATTTTAATGAAAATAATTTAAACTATATAATTTTTTTTAATTTTGCCAATATCATATTTTGGTTATCAGGAACACAGTAAATATATTCGCTGCAAATTCCCTTCATAGATATTTGTATTTGGTAAGAAATAGATTATGTTGTTCGTAAAGCTAATTTACCAAACAAAATTTATTTTATTCAGTAAATATGGTATTCTTGTTGCAGAGCCATATTTTAATTAATTTGTATCTTTGCCATAGTCATTGATAATTATCATGATATGATCCTGAAGATCCCACAAATCTACCACATTTTCACCTCCAGAATGAAAGAATGTCTAGAAAATAACCATAGAGAAAGAGTGATGGAGACAAAATATTCCAGGATTATGGCTAATAAAAACTATTGTTGAGTGCGGTTTTGATGTGTGACTGCAATACGCTTTTAGCAAATCTCACTCCTTAATTCTTTATTATTGTTATTATTATACTTTAAGTTCTAGGGCACATGTGTACAACGCGCAGGTTTGTTACATATGTATACATGTGCTGTGTTGGTTTGCTGCACCCATTAACTCGTCATTTATATTAGCATTATATAATGCTTCTTAAACACAAAGTCACAAAAAAGAGGGGCAACTGCAGGCCTTCTCCACAAAGCAGCATGGAAGAGAACAAGCAGACAAAATGTACCCTATAGCAAGGCATACATGAAAGAAAAAGAGAATAGCTTTGAAGTCAGTAAATTATTTTAACCTAATTTTAAAAGATAAGTCATTCCTTCTCCCTGAGGAAAAGTTGGTGAGGGGTGAGGAAAGAAGCCAGGAGTGATTACTTCTGATTGTGATGTTTTCTATGTCACAATAAGCCATATATAATAATTGAATTGAAAACATTAGCAAAATGCTTGCTCCAGTTTCTGTGGTTTGTGGGAAAATAAAAATCTTCAGTAGGAAAAATAATACAGGCTACTTAAGCAGAAAAAATAATATTGGCACAAAAATAATATCTCCTGCTGGAAATTTCTCAATTATCTACACAATTTTTACATTTTTAACAGATAAACCAGGTCACCAATAGAATTTGGCTTGATTCTAGAATCAAAAATTAGTATAATATCCTGTTAATAATCAAGGATAAAGGTTAGGTGTTGATATTGACTGATAAGTTATCTGTTAAATTGTTTTTCTTGTATCATAGTTCAATAATGTCATTGTTTATAAAAGAAACGGAGTTATATGTAGTCAAATAAGATGGAGATTTTCTAGTCCACCTCTTACTTTTAGAATATTACAATTTAGTCTCCACAATGCACTATCAATCTGTACCTTTACACAACAGTTGTAGAAATTCAAACAAGAGGGCATTTCTCAAAGAGCACATATGAATCAAAATTTCTTCTCACATGGAGAAATAATCCAAGTAATCTCATGCCAGTAAAATATGTTTTGAGTTGGAATTATACCTTATTTGTAGTAAGCTTCAATATATATTCATTGGAATTTTAATCTCCAGACAGTTAACCTAGCCATCTAACACTAGATGTGACCACCAGATTTAGCAATAAAAATACAGGATTCCCAATGGAACTTAAATTTCTGATAAGCAACAAAAATATTTTAATATAAGTATATCACATGCAATATTTGGCATACATTTATTCTAAAAAAACTTAGTTGTATGATCAAGCCACTGTACTGCAGCCTGGGTGACAGAGTGAGATCCCAACAACAGCAACAAAAATGGTAGTTGTTTTTCTAAAATTCAGATTTCATGGGCATTCTCTATTTTTCCTGGCAACCCTAACACTATGGCATGATACAATTCCTTGTATGTATACCATAGATGTGGAACTGAAAATGCTAATTTATTTGATTATGAATTTGGTGAGCTATTGGTTGTAATAATTTTACTGGCAAACTCAGAGTGGGTTTAATTATTTTATGATTTATCTGCCTCATAAGATAAGGATTTTTGTTTTTACACTTTAAAAATAGTGCACATCTCCATATCAACTTCAAATACCACAGCTGAAAATAGTGTCTTTCATATTAAAGTGACAAGTTTCTCATTAGAGGGACACAGTAGTCAACATTATTTTATGAAAGTAATTTATATTCCAGTGCAGCAAATTGTTCATCAGGGTCAGCTATGTTGGCCTGAAAATATCTTGATTTTAGTTTAATGCAGTTATTTGAGTATGCACTAAATACTGTTGGTTTTGGTATGAAATTGATTCTTAGATTGGTATGAAACTTATTCTTAGACTTTGGGTCAAACTGAAAAAATTAGTTCTTTCTTCAGGAGCCATTCTTGTCTGCAGCTTTAGTGGCTGGAATACTATAGCTCAAGAACAGGATTTTTGAGAGAATTCTCATAGATTGAAAATTTTGCCCATGGGAAGAATTACATTTATTGAAGTATACATCCACATAACTTTGTATTTACATCTTACGATAATCTTGAAATCTAAAAAATTGAGACCCCAAATCTCTTTGCCATTTTGTTTTTCCTAAAGCTATATATATATATATATATATATATATATATATTCATTGGAATTTTAATCTCCAGACAGTTAACCTAGCCATCTAACACTAGATGTGACCACCAGATTTAGCAATAAAAATACAGGATATATATATAGCTTTAGGAAAAACAAAGGATTTATATATATATATAGCTTTATATATGTGTATATATATTCATATAAAGCTATATATATAGCTTTAGGAAAAACAAATGATTCAGGAGTACACTTCCCTTAAAATTCATGGTTAAATTCTGTTCCACAGAATTATTTGCATTCTCCAAAAGCATTAAGATGAGTTACATGAGACGTGTCATGTAGCAAAGCCAAACACATATTTAGAGTCTTCAAGCTTTTTTGACACATTTCTATCGTGTTTTCTAAACATAATGTAATTATATTATTTTTCCCAAGAATTTCCTGTGTGGATATTCTTTTCTAGGATTGTTATCTATAGCTATAATTATTTTTTATAATTGATAAAGCATAATAAATCAAGTAAATGTCTTATCCAGTCATTTATTAAAGAAAAATACTTTTTCAGTGTAATAAAAGGTAAATTATAACTGTGGTTATTCTGAACAGAATTAGATACTTTATTTTATCATCTATTGGAACAAAAAATAAGTACTCATCAGATATTTTCAATGACAGTAATTTGAAAACAGCCAAACTTATATGCACAATCATGCTGTGGACAAAACTAAATAAGTTCTTGTTGACAGCTATATGGTTTGAATATAAGCTGTTTGATAGTAATTCCTGTAATTTTCTATAAGTAGTGTAACAAACTTGTCACTTATTTATCTTCTAGATGAAATGAATGATCATCAAAGTACCCTCTCCTACATCCTGATTAACCCATCTCCAGATACCAGAATAGAACTGAATGATGTTGTGTAAGTTGATCTCATATCTCATATAACACATATATTTTTAGAAAACTACTATTTATTTTTGTACTTTCATTTAGGCCATAATAGCCTCTTATTTTTCTTATAAGTGCTTAAATAGTCTATACCTAATTTTGTAAACAAACAAATGCATTTGATATGTTTCATGTAATATAAAAATTATGATTGTTTAAAAGGAGTATAAAATAAAGAAATAGCATGAATTCTGTATTCTGTGAGCTAAAAAATATTTGGAAAAATGAGGGAAAACCTGGAAGAATAAAAGAGCAACTCAACAGAAAACCTGAAATATCCCACACTGTTTAGTTCTAAATACTTTCAAGTTCCCAAAAGCCAAATTACGACTGGTCAAGCACTTATAGGTCTATGGTACTAATTTTATTTCTCAAAAAATAATTATTGAACATATACAGTTGTAGCACTCACCTAAATATGTGAGATAGAAAGACTAAGGCATTTTCTGCGACTTCAAAGTCCTTACACTCTAATTAACAAAGCTACAATTTACGCATGAAAAATTTAATAGCAATACATAATATGACTTTGTCACTAACAAACTAAATAAATTAAATGAGACAGACAGTGCTTTTCTGAATTAATAGAGGGAGACTTTATTGAGTGGTTGAGCAATTATAAAGAATGTAAAACTAGACTCTGAAGGATAGATAGAATTTGTGATGGTGGAGAAGAGAGGACAGTCCAGAACAGGAAGAATGGCTTGGAAAATGCACTATACAGGAATTGCATAAAGTGTTTCAGTGGCAATTTGACTGGAGTAGAAGTTTTGTGTAGTCAGCATTTCCGTTGAAAGGTAAATGCAATGCTGGAAAAATAAATTATATTTGCCTCTGGAAAGGTCTTAGATGACAAAATGGATTTAAATTTGGTCTTATAGATGATGGACAGTACTTAGACATATATGAGCAAGCATGTAGCAAGACTTTAGAAAAGGCACTTTGACGACTGTTGGTATAAGCCTAGGAAAGAAATTCCTTACAAGAATCTGCCCTTGAGATACACGACCTGTCCTGGGGTAGATCAAGTGATGTTTAGCCAAGGTAGCTAACTATAGATTGTATTGCTGACATAAAACGAGTGCCAAAGATCCACATGTTTTGTTGGATATTAGATCCATAGGATGTGTTTGCGTCTGTAATCCAGAAAGCAAGTGATAAGGTCAGAGACTAGCAGAACTGAGAACATTTTGTGATGCTGAGCATAATATGGATCCATGCAAGAAGTTTAGAACTAAATGTAATAATGTGCAAAAATTTAGAAGACTCTTTGATATGTTGTCAGTTTTGTGAAAGATTTTGACTGGAGTGGAAAGGGTATGATTTTTTTAAAGGAGTTCTGCAGAAAACAATAGAATTGATTGATGGGATGGGTTAGGGTTGGGGTGAACAGGAATGCAGGGTAAACAATTAAAAAGCAGGTGTGAGGAAACCAACCATCTGTCATAGCATCAAGACAAAGCATTGCAAAGGCAAGCCCCTATCTAAATAGATTTATGAAGGCAGAAAATGAGACTTGATGATTGATTTGGGAATTGAAAAAGAAATCTAACATAGCTTTAGGGTTTCAAAACTGTGTGATTATAAAAATAAAAATAAAAATGTTGTTTCATCAAAACAAGTCAGAATGGGAAGACAATCTTCCAGGCTGAAAAGAGGGGTTGTTGGGTAGTAAAAAAAAAAGAGAGATGATATGTGGGTCCAAGTATATGTGTATTTTTAATAAATATTGACTTTCTAATTAATTAATTTTTATTGATACATACTAGTGCATTTTATGGGGCACATGTGATATTTTGATACATGCATAAAATATGTAATGATCAATCAGGGTAATTGGGATAGCCATTACCCCAAACATTTATAATTTCTTTGTGTTAGGAATATCCCAAATCTTCTTTTCCAGCTATTTTGAAATATACAATAAAGTCTTGTTAAGCATAGTTGCCCTACTGTGCTTTGAAGCACTGGAATTTATTTCTTCTGTGTAACTGTATTTTGGTTACTAATAAACCAATCTCTCTCCATCTTCCCCTCCTCATCACCCTTCCCAGCCTCTGATAACATTCTACCTACTATCTCCATGAGATCAGTTATTTCAGCTCACACGTTTGAATGAAAACATATAATATTTGTTTTGCTGTGGCTTATTTCACTTAACATAATATTTTCCAGTTCTGACTACGTTGCTGCAAATGACAGAATGTCATCTTTTTTATGGATGAATGATATTCTACTTTGCCTGTATATCACAAATTTTCTTCATCCATCCATTCAAATATACTATTTAAAGTACAAAGAGGAAATGTATAGAAAGCATTGAGATACATAGTATTGGAACTTTGAAGATAAGCCCATTTTCTATAGAAAACAAAAATATTTCTTGTCTTCCAGCTGAAAAAGGCAAATAGGGAATGTTTTTCCCCAAAATATAAATACAGAAGAAAAAGTAGAAGAATGAGTGTTGAACTACTGAGGAGTGTTTTGTTTTAGGGCAGAAACAGGAAGCATTTCAAAAACTTATTAGGAAAATACAACAGCAGGAGTAAATCTGACCCCAGATAAGTGTGAAGAGATTCCTAAATTGCACCTAAGATAGAACTATGTAGTATAATATTGCTTTATTTTACCATCTGATAATACTGGTTAGAATACAGGAGCATTGGGGAAACAGATGAATAACAATTTAAGCTAGTAGAATTCTTAAGTCACTGTCAAAAATTGTATCTGATGGTGGTATTGAATTTATAAAGGACTTCAATTAGAGGAAAACTTCTTATTTATGATGCACTTGGATTTTAATTGCTCATCCTGGACCCTTCACATGGTATATTATGACAATAAAACAAAGCTGTCCTTTTTTCTTAGCATCCACATTTATACATGTCTTTTTTCTTTTAAGTCCATAGTATAGATAATTTTATTAAATATCTAATCTACCCATATTAATTCCAGCCTTCTTATACCTCTTTTTCAATAAGTATAATTGGGTTAATTATACAGAATTTTTAAAATTATGCTTACCTTATTTGTATTTTACAATAAATTATATTTCTTTAGCTTAATACAATCATTTCCCTAATTATTTTTGACAGAATGTTCAAAGAAAATGCTGTCAACCTTTTGAATCTAAGAACATGTCCTTTTGTCAAATATTTATGTTTATAATTTCAAATAATGTTTAATCTTTTTACTTATGAATAAAATATGTATGTCACAATGTGAACAGGTAAAGTAGACATATTTTAGAGAATTTTCTGCCTTTTAGATACTCTTATTTTTTATTAGTTTTAAGCTAAAACATCAACATGACTGCTATTAAAAAAAATAAAAAAAGCTTTACTTACACCATTGCAGTAATCTGTATTTGTGGCACTGAGATAATTAAATTTCAGCAGAACCAGAGCAATGATAAATTATCATTTGAAAGATGTCTACCATGACAAGTAATATATAAAAACACAGTTTAAGAAATTTGCTTTATTGGACTCACAGGTTTTGTAATGAGAATAGTAAGAAAAGGAACTTTTGCTACTACATCAATGAACGTAGAGGATAATGGATTATACTGGTTTCTTTTATGTTTTTCTAAAAATTCACTTTCAGAAGTTCATTTTAAATGAAGAAGCAACATTAATTTGATACAAACAATAATAAATCACTAGATGATATGGTATTAAAAAGTATAATTTGCACTATTAGTTTTCTTCGTCAATCTACAATACTATTGATATTTAAAGTAATTATAAAGCAGTGTGCATAGATGGCAAAGTCCAGTTAATAGGTCCAGGAACACTAATCTCAACTTTTTTTGGTCAAAGAAAATAGACTCAATGTTTTTGATTGCCTTTTCTCATTTTCATTAAGGAGTATATTTTATGAACTTTTTCCTTCAGTCTTTAAGAAAACAGTGCAATCTTTATTAGAGTTCTCACTTTTTAATTAGTTTCCCTGTTCATTTTATATACTGCCTCTAAAAAATATTATAGAAGTATGAAATACTTCTTTCATTTGGACTTGGAACCTGGCTTTCTTAGAATGCTATGTTGCATATATTTATTTTCTTTCTCTCCTTTTCAAACCCTTAGTGGCTTCCTACGGCCTTTAGAACACAATTGAAACTACTTATTCTGAAACTTAAGGTCTTTCATTACCTGTTTCCTACCTTTGTTTCTGAATTTACCTACCATGATTTACCAGTTTTCTAAAGTCAAATCCTTTCTAAGCACATCAGAAACATCCATCCTCTGTAGTCTCCATTGACAACGTTTGGGGTCACCTCCTGTTCCTTCCTCCTAAATCTTCTCTGAAGCCTGGAGAGGCAAGTTCAACCCAACTCCTCAATAAAGTAGTTCCTAATTCTCTCTGTGGTTCTTTTTCACTTTGTATGACATTTGGAATTTCTTTTTTCTTTCCATTATATCTACTTCATAAATTATGCTTTTATCTTCTGCCGGACAGGGGTAAGTTTTGTGATTTTTTTAAATTCTAAGGTGTTAGCACAGTTTCCTACAGGTGCTCAAGAAGCAGTCACTGAAGATACTCAGGCATATTTCAGAGATACTGCAGGATTGTTCCAGACTACCACGATAGAGTGAATATTGCAATCAAGCGAGTCACTTGAATTTTTTGGTCCCAGTGCATACAAAATTTATATTTGCATTATACTTTAGTCTACTAAGTGTGCAAAAGCAAAGCATTATGTCTAAAAATGTACTTAATTTAAAATAGCTTATTGCTAAAAAATGCTAGCAATCATCTGAGCCTTCAGGGAGTCATAATCTTTTTTTGCTGGTAAAGAGTCTTGCCTCAATGTTGATGGCTGCTGACAGATTGGGGTAGTGGTTGCTGAAGGTTTGAATGGTGTGGCAATTTCTTAAAATCAGACAATGAAGTAGTATGCTGCATTGATTGACTTTCTTTCATGCAAGATTTATCTGTAGCATGTGATACCCTTTGATAACATTTTACCCAAAGTGGAACTTCTTTCAAAACTGGAGTCAGTCCTTTCAAACCCTGTTGCTACTTTGTCAACTAAGTTTACGTAATAATATAAATTCTTTATAGTCATTTCAACAATGTTCATAGCATCTTCACCAGAAGATTTCATCTCAAGAAACCAATTTATTTGATCATAAATAAGAAGCAACTCCTCATTCATTCAAGTTTTGGTCAGAGATTGCAGAAATTGAATCACATCTTTGGGCTCCGCTTCTAATTCTAGTTCTCTTGCTATTTCTACCACAACTGCAGTTACTTCCTCCACTGAAGTCTTGAACCCCTCAAAGTCATCCATAAGGGTTAGAGTCAACTTCTTCCAAACTTCTGTTAATGTTGATATTTCTACCTCATCCCATGAATCATGAACATTGAAATGACTCTTTGATCCATGGACTGCAGAATAGATGTCGGGTTAGCAAGAGTGATACAATGCTAATCTCATTGTACATCTCCATCAGAGCTCTTGGGTGACCAGGTGCCTTATCAAGGGGCAGTGATATTTTGAAAACAGTCTTTTTTTTTTTTAAAGCGTTAAGTCTCAACAATGGACCTAACATATTCAGTCAACTATGCTTTAAACAGATGTGCTGCCAGTCAGGCTTTGCTTTTCCGTTTCTAGAGCACAGGCAGAGCAGATTTAGCAGAATTCTTAAGTGCCCTAGGATTTCCAGAATGGTAAATGAGCACTGGCTTCAACTGAAAGTCACCAGATGCATTAGCCCCTACCAAAAGAGTCAGCCTGTCACTGAAGCTTTGAAACCAGGCTTTGTCTTCACCACTCTAGCTATGAAAGTACTAGATGGCACCTTTTTCCAATAGAAGTCTGTCTTCCAAATTGAAAATCTGTTGTTTAATTTAGCCACCTTCATCAACGATCTTATTAATAGTTTGATTTTTTGGATAACTTGCTGTAACCTCTCCATTGGCACTGTCTGTTTCACCTTGCACGTTTATGTTATGGAGGAGACTTACTTCCTTAAGCTTCATGAGCTAACCTCTGCTAGCTTCCTCTTCTGTAGCTAACCTCTTCTATAGCTTCTTCACCTCCCTCACCTTTCAGAGAACTGAAAAGAAGTAGAGCATGGCTCTGGATTTGGCTTTGGATTAAGGGAATGTTGTAGCGGGTTTGATCTTTTTTCCAGACCACTCATACTTTTGCCATCTCAGCAATAAGGCTGTTTACCTTTCTTATCAGTTGTATATTCACTGAAGTAGCACTTTTAATTTCCTTAGGAACTTTTCCTTTGCATTTACAACTTGGCTAACTGGCACAAAACACCTAACTTCCAACTTATGTAAGCTTTTGATGTGCCTTCCTCACTAAGCATAATCATTTCTAGCTTTTGATTTAAAGTGAGAGACATAAGACTCTTCCTTTCACTTGAACAATTACAAGTCATTTTGGGGTTATTAACTGATCTAACTTTAATATTCTTGTGTCTTGGGGAATACAGATGGTGGAGGAGAGGGAGAGAAAGTCAAAGGAACAGCCAGTTGATGAAGTGACCAGAACACACATATTTTATTGGTTAAAATTGCCTTCTTATATGGGTGCGAATAATGTTATCCCAAAACAATTACAATAGGAATATCAAAGATTACTGAGCACAGATCACCATAACAGATATAATTACATTGGAAAAAGTTCAAGTTACAAAATCTGACACAGAGACCCTAAGTGAGCACATGTTGTTGGAAAAAATGTCTCCAACGGACTTGCTTGATGCGGGGTTGCCACAAAGCTTCCGTTTATAAATAATGCAATATTGGCAAAGTACAATCAAGTAAAAAGCAATAAAAAAGGTATGCCTATACATCGTTTGACAGTCTGAAGGAAGACAACTCTCTTAAAACAAATTCTCACATTAATGAAATGTTTGAGTTTGGCAGATAAACATTTTTGTATTTACTAGTAGAATTAGTTAAGAATGATTCTCCATACTTTAATATTATCACTTACTATACCATAACCTGAATTTTAGATAAATGTTTTTTCAGCTAATTTAAACATTATGCATTATATTCACTATAAACATTTGTTAAATTGTTAATTTTATAGATTCATAAAATATTCAAATTGAAAAGACTACAGCAACCCCTTACATCAATCTCCTAATTTTTTTAAGTCATAAAAATAAGACAAAGAACAACAGTTAAGTAATGGAAGGATAATGGCTAAAATGTAGGTCTCCTTCATAGAAAAATGGCCAAAGTCAGGGATAATAAGTCAACAGCATACTAAATCATAAAACTGTGATGAGATGAAGGTGATGAAATTGATTATAATTGAAAAATAATGGTGCCTGACAGCCAACATGCACAGGGAAAAAGAGAAAGAAGAAGAAACATAATAGTGCTTGATTCATCAGCATTCACCATCATAATCTTCTCAGGTATGAAAATGATAATGTTAACCATGCCAAATTGTAAAGGCCAACTTAAACAGTGAGTTCTGCCACCAATGTTGTATATAGACAGTTTAGATTATCTGAAAACTGAACAAATAAAGTAGAAATATAAAGTGTTAGTGTGAATCAATGTTGCCTGTATTTACTATTGCAAAGTAATTTATTTTGTTTTCTTTTATTAGATACTTAATTAGACCAGATCCATTGGCCTACCTTCCAAACAGTGAGCCTAGTCGAAGAAACAGCATCTGCAATGTCACTGGTCAAGATTCTCGGGAGGAAACTCAACTTTGATAAAAAATAAAATGAGAAACTTTTTTCCTACAGGGACCTTGCTTGGAACCACAAAAGTTTTGCTGACACGAAAGAAACTAGATGGAAATACTTGTAATTCTCTCATATTTAAAAACATAATCTCTTCTCTTAGAAGTATAGATCATTTTGAAATTTAATGTACTACTTACTGGTACTCTCCCTGTTAATAGTTGAAGGACATCAATGGAATAGATTTGAAAAGCTATATTAAAATACAAAAATTTAAATCTAACATTTAATTATTTTATATTAATCCAAACTATATGAAACCAATTTTAAAAATTATTAAGGTTTTATGAAATTGACAAAATCTAACTCTATTTGGTGCATCACAATGGACACAGAATGTTGCTGCTCCTCTTAAAAATTAAATGTGTCATATCATATTCTTTAAACTTACTGTTTTATAAAACTGAGCTCATCATACTTGTCTAGTCTTCTCTACATAGAGATTAACCAACAAACTTGTGTGGCTGACTTTTGTGTAAGAATCATAGTTTGCTTTAGAATACAAATCTTTAAGTCATTTTAACTTTTTTTCTCTGCCTTATGATATAAAAATATTTATCTTAGAATTTGAGATGTTCATAGCATGTTTTACACTGAAGAAACTAAAACTTAAATAAAAAGAAACACTAGGTTCCTGCACTTTTTGGTAATTTTATGTCTAGCAAACATTTTATGCCAAGAAAAGCATACTATAAAGCAAATATCTATTATTCTCCTAAATGAATGCCTAGCATAGAGAAAATACTTAATACACATTTGTTGACTTAAATTTAGTTCAAGGATTGAAACATTAACTGGATTTCTTGAAATATACAGTAATGATTGTCCTTAGGCTCTTCGGCTTTACCATTTTTCATATATCTATATAGTAAATTTCATTAGAAAAATTCTTTTAAAATTGACAGAAGATAATTTATACCTTTTATGGAATCTGAAGACACTTCAAAACATTAAAAGTCCTTCTTATGTCTTTGGTAATGAAACAATAACACTCGATGAAGGGTGTATTAAAAATTTTGGCTTAACTTTGAAATCATATATATGAACTATATGAGAGAAAAGCATAAAACAAAAATAGGTAGCTCTTGGCTTTTAACATTAATGCAAATCATGCAGAATTTGAGTCATAAATTTAAATATAAATTGACCATTTATGACACCCATTTTTTACCTGTATTGCATTTACCCCCTAGAGAAATAGATCAAAAAAGCACAAAAGTATGTGTACATAGTTTACCAGGTAGTGGAAGTGTGTTAAAATGTTCCTATAAAAGAAACATTGGTAAATTTAATTATATACTATTCTAGTTTTGTATTTTTTAATTTTTGAATTTGACATTGATTTTAATTCAACAACAACAAAAAATGAATATAAAACTGGAAAGGGAAACTTTTTCTTTTCATAATGAAGCAGATCAACTTAAAGGATAATACATTTTTTTAAGAAAAGATATTCTAATGTTCTCTCAATAATTCTACAGAAATAAAAGTATAAAGTGCAACGTGAAATCAAAGATTATAGTCATTATATAATTTGGCTTGGAGACTATGAAATGTCTTTTTTTCTTTTTGGTATTTTACATTATTCACCTTTTAGAATAACAAGAACACCAAGAATTACCCCTAAAACAGAGACCCTGCATTTACTCTACTTTGATCAGAGAAGTAGAATGTATAACACGTTACCTAAAATTGGGAGCATGCCTTAAAACTTAAAGATTGTATGCATATATGTGTATATGTTATAAACATGTGAAATATATTTGACACACACATTCACATATAAATTGTTAAAAACTGAAGGCAGGATGGAACTAATATATGTAACAGAGAAAAACAATAAATTTAATGAACTTATTTTATATTTGCATATCAAGAGTCAAGTACGATGTTTCTTTAAGTTGACTTTTTTTACTTCATTATTTTTAGGAATAAATGTAAGATTTTACAAATCTTTTATTTCCCCACAAGATCTGAAGTTTGGTATTTTTGCACTATGACAGTTGTTGAGACTAGGATTTTAAGCTAGGATATGATTATATTTCCTATATAACTAAAAATTTTGTTTCATAAATTTTAAAATAATTATTTTTGACTATGAACATTAGTCCAAATTTAATATTTGACACAGTTCATACCAGCTTGCTACAATAATGATAATTTATTAGTCTTTCTGTTATTTAAAGAATAAAAACATGCTTATACAAGACTTTTAATGAACTGTTGCCTTTTTAAAATAATTATACTTGCACATGCAAATAAAATATAAAGTCAATAATAGTCCTTGTAGCCCAATGGGAATTGATTCTGTTTATTGTCTGTACCATTTTGCTACCAGTTACATTGAACTGCTTTACAATAAATAATAAAATTATTTCTAATGATGAAAACTCTTGATGTTTTTTGCCTAAACTTCAGTTGCTTAGATAAATTATGTGTTGGACTTATAAAAATCATTTTTCAGTTTTATATTTTAAACCCAAAATAACCACGGAGGTGATCTCATTGGAAAATATAGTGATAAATAAAGTTCTTTTGAATTATGTCTTAATATAATAGATTCTGAATAGTTGCACCATTTCAGAAAAGGAGAAGTGAGGATGGAAGGAGAGTTGAGATGGGAAGAAATGAACTTTAGGAAAAAAGGAGGCAAGAAGAAAAGAGAAGATAAGAAAAAAATAAACCTTAGTGAAGACGTCAGAAGAGAAAAGTATTTTACGACACAGAATCATGTCACAATACACTCATTTAAGAATCAGAAAAGCTCTGGTTAGAGAAAAGAGAAAATAGTTTTTAATGTAAAGATGGACTTCCAGTTCCAGGAAAATGGAATACTCCCATTTCTCCCTATTCCTCCTGCTAAACACAGCTAAACCCCCTAGATATTGTATGTAAAACAGACCTAAGAAGGTTCTGAACGGTGGAAAGAAGGAGGAAGACAGATTAGGGAATTGGGACTTGAAGAAAGACATGGTGGTGAATTCTGTGGGATTTTTCTTGGCTTCCTGTATATCCTGATCTTGACAGTGAGAAACATCAATGAGCACAGATGAAAAAGTTCCAAGAAAAGCCTGCTCTCTCCTTCAAAAGGGCTGGCTCCTGTGACAGATGAGGCTTCTGCAGCACCAGACTGCTGACAGTTCAGTATGGATGGCTTCTCCTGAGACGGGCTCCACACCTGGCAGCCTGATGCTTTCCTCAGCACCCTGTTAGATGATTTTCTAGTGGCGTGCTTCCAGTGAGATGCTTTCCCATAAAAAACTTCCTCTGGCACCCTAGAGGATGGAATTCCAGCAAAATCTGCCAGTGCAGCACCAAAATGACTTTTCTGCTGTTCTGTAAGCCACAGCTGTGCTATCTTGATTTCCAGGGCAGTCCTGGAATCTCTTCCTGGAGCACTTTATCTTGGTCTTGAAAATAATGTATGCTCCTTACGTCTGCTATTGCTTTGTTATTTTCAAGTTCTCTTTACTATTACTAACCAATCTGATATTACTCTATTGCTCTGTTATACTTTAAAAATCTCAGTATAAAATGTTCTCTGTCCAAATCACTGTGTCCAAACAGAACCCCGACTGATAAATTATGCAGAAATCAGCAGTTCTCTGTTTAATGAAATAATGGTGATATCGAATTCTACAAACCTGAGAGACAGACTTTGGGCAAATGCAACAAATTAAATAGCACCTGCTGGGAAACTTTGCAGACAGACAATGCACTCATCCTGTGGAGCATTAGACACTTTTCATTTCATTGTGATCTTCCCTACTGTTTTTTATGGGACTGCCTCCAGTCCTATAGTTTATAGGACTAACTCATTTGTGGGAAGGGAGAAATAGACATGCCAGCTTTAATCATGTAGGTCGATCTAAAAGTATAGCAAATCGTTCTTAAAAATAGTAATTTTGCTTATAATTAAACAATATGCTTATATTATTATCCAATAGAATTGTATTTTATTACTTAATCTAAACATGTGTTTGTAAAAACAAAACAAAGACCTGTTTTTCTAAAAATAAATAATAGAAATCTTTCACAAATTGCACTATAATTAGTCACACTCCAAGAAAATATAATATAGTTCCACTTCAAGATTTGTATTTTCTTCTTTTTGTATAATACACAAAATACATTTCATTCTAGTGACACCAAGCTAGATATCTTTGTACTTGATAATTAAACGCCATTCCAGAAAGAAACATTTCCAAATTTATTGACTTCCACTCTCTGATCCGTATTTTATTCATATAGACTAAGAAAGAGTGAGTAGTTCATCAGAATACATTTTTTTTCTCTGAAAATTCTCGACTTTCAAAAAACAGGAGCTACGAGACACTTTTATTAAAGAAATGAGGTTGGTACTAAAGTCGATGTTTGTAAATACACTGCATAGCTGTATAGGCACAATTAAGTTATATATCGCTAAAGTATTATTTGACAGCTTTAAGTTCTTTTAATTACTGATTATTATCGTACACAAGAAATCCATCAAAAAAGGTAATAGATTCCAAATTTTAACTGAGACCACAGAATGAAAGCCTCCAAAAGATTTATCAATCTGTCATAAGATTTCAAAAAGAAACTGACATTTTGTGGTACATATTAGGCAGGACAGATTCAGCTACAGTGCAGTAATAGATTAAACTCCATACATAATCTCAAGTGGTTTAATATAATAAATATTCCATTTTATATGGAATAATGTCTAATGCAGAAAATGATTTGAAGTTTTAAGATAAAAGATTTTACAAATGTACATGCATTGAAGCAATATAAAAATACAAATCATCACAGCAATAGAAATATAACTAAAGTATTATTACCTTTACTAAAAATTCAAACTTGAAAATAAAATATGGAGAAAATCATAATTATTATAAAATTTTAGATGTTCTTATGCCAAGTTATAAATGACTTGATTTTGAAAACAAAGTATAATCACTTTTTAATTAATAATAATTGATTTCTAATGTTTCTGGCAAAAAGCATACTGTGAAATGACTACAAAATAACTGACATTTCCACTGGGAAACATGTTGGTAAAAATAATTAAGTAGCTGTGCTTGATTTATTATCAGTAACTACAGGAGAGAAGTTCTTACTTTGAAGCATTCAGCATCCTCCAAGTTAGTTAATGTGGGCAATCCTCATTTCTCAGTTTAGTGATGTTAAGATTTATTCTTATACTAGAATCAAGTTGCAATCTAATTTAAGAAAACAAAGTAATCAGTTACTTCTGAGTCACTGTTACAAACTCAGAAGCCTAAATTAGCCAAAGAGATGGTCCTTTGATCATTTTGAAATGTAAAATTTTAAGGTCACATATTTTTAAGATAAGAAATCTGTCTGGTGAAAATGTATTACCTAGTTATCAATATAGATGTGACATTTATTACTAAAATTTAAAATCACTTAATAAAATAATTTTATTTTGTTAAAATATTGTTTTGGGATTTGGGGGCTATACTGCCATTTTTTTTCTTGAGTTTGACTGAAAGACTGATATCCACCTACTGTAGATAAGAAACTATTGAAAATGTATTATTAGGAATCTACATGAATGATGGTTTAGTATTTTGAAGTAGTTCCTGTAATATTGTTAAAGTTTTTCTTAGGCAACCATTATTAAAAGATATTGACAAGATCTGCCCTCATAATCATTTAAACTCA